GTATGCAAAATATGCTCCAGTATAGCACCCTATTTACACACGCTCATTGCTTTTCAAAAGATTCACCTTTCAGGTTTAGCTTTTAATGCTTGCTCTCTGCCCAAAAAGCATTTTGGGGAAGCTGGAGCCGAAGGTGGGAATTTTAAGCAAATACACCTCAGCTCTTCACCTTTGCAGGAGGGGGGGAGAGAGCTGATTTCAAATTAACCCTTTGTTCACCCAGAAACAGGTTGTGCCCCTGCACCTTGACCAATCTGCCTACTGCACTGAGCCCAGGGCACAGATTCCTCATAGTTCACGCCCTGTGAAGATCCTTCCTGTGCCAATTAGAGTGATGAGAAGTGATTGACTTAGGCCTTGGCTACACTCGGGAAGTCACAGCGCTGCCGTGGCAGCGCTGTGAAGTGCAAGTGTAGTCGCGTCGCCAGCGCTGCGAGAGAGCTCTCGTCGCAGCGCTGTATGTACTCCACCACTCCAAGGGGAGTAGCTTGCAGTGCTGCGAGAGAGCATGCAGCACTGCAGGCTCTGATTACACTGGCGCTTTACAGCGCTGTGCTCGGGGGGGGGGGCGTTTTCACATCCCTGAGCGCAGCAAGTTGCAGCACTGTACAGCGCCAGTGTAGCCAAAGCCCAATACTAGAGCCAAAGGATGAGTGCTCCAGTGGTGTACAGAAGAAGGAGTTGAATTCACAGAGAATTGCATTGATTTGTGTGATGAAAAATGACTAATTGCAATATGAATGAGGAGTACTTGTGGCACCTTAGAGACTAACAAATTGATTTGGGCATAAGCTTTCGTGGGCTAAAACCCACTGCATCAGATGCATGGAGTGGAAAATACAGTCGCAATTCTTCAACAAAAAAAACTTCAAAAACAGACTTCAATGAGAAACTGCAGAACTGGAATTAATTTGCAAACTGGACATCATTAAATTAAGCTTGAATAAAGACTGGGAGTGGATGGGTCATTACACAAACTAAAAACTATTTCCCCATGCTAATTTTCCCTTACTGTTACTCATACCTTCTTGTCAACTGTTTGAAATGTGCCATCCTGATTATCACTACAAAAGTTTTTTTCCTCTGCTAATAGCCCACCTTAATTGATTAGTCTTGTTAGAGTTGGTATGGCAACCCCATCTTTTCATGGTGTGTGTGTGTGTGTGTTCCTACTGCATTTTCCACTCCATGCATCTGATAAAGTGGGTTTTAGCCCACGAAAGCTTATGCTCTAATAAATTTGTTAGTCTCTAAGGTGCCACAAGTACTCCTGTTCTTTTTGCTGATACAGACTAACATGGCTACCACTCTGAAACCTAATTGCAATATATGGTTTCCAGTTCAGAAGAATGGGTACAGTCGTATGGGTTCATAATTGGCAGTTCTTGTTAGGGAATGTTGAAATAGAAACTTGTATTGTCATGCACTAGAAATGGAAGAGGCAGGAAGTAATTAACAACTTTATTGTATTTATTTGTTTCCCATTATAAAGATAACCCAGCGCATCCAATTAGACTATACCTGGTGAGCTGAAGCTTGCAGAGAAATCATACAGAAAAGCAGAACAGGTTACCAACTAGTCAGAGTTTAAAGGGATTAAGAGAGGTCTTCACATTTATGCCAGGGAGATAAATTGAGGCCACTAATAAAATGACAAAAGAGATTAAATGAATGGTGAGTCTACAGTGGCTGAGACACTGAACTACTTAAAAAAAATTCTGCCATAGATGAAGACTAGAAACTTGTATTTTATGTGGTGAATAAAGGTGTGACCTAGTGGAGGGACTTGTCAAGGGGCGATACGACCTGAGTGATGGGCCAGAAAGATGGGGACAAAGATGGGTATTAGGAGAGTTGGGTAGGTGTTGGAGTGGCCAGAGAAGAGGAGGTTACAGTACTCAGGATGAGAGATGGTGAAGGCCTGGGTAAGAGTTTTACCTGTGTGGGTGTAGAGAAGAGGCTGGCTCTTGAAAATGTTATGGAAGAGGATGCAACAAGAATTGTGTATGGTTTGGACATGTAGTCTAGACATAATTGGTAGCATTGTCCTGAAGGACAGGACTGGAAAAGGGTTCACTCAGCACCATCCATCAGAGAAGAGAGGAAGAGGTAGTTATTCCACCACAACTTGGCAAATCATTATTAATAAACAAAAATTTATAAGAAAGAAACAGTTTTCTTATTCTCTGCTTTGTCTTTTTCTGCTCTGCTCTGGGGCTGTTTCTTTATTTGTTAAAAGAACACAGCACCCATTGCAGATATTATACAGATCATCAACAGGTGATTCAATGCTGTTTGCAAAGTTTTTAAAGTAGTGCACCAGAGTCCAGTGTATATTTATTGGGGGTGGTTGTTAGAAGATTCAATATTAAGAGATTTACTCTGTAAAATACATTGGACACAATGCATACTTTGGTTCAACGAGACACATCCATATTTTATCCAATTACTCATGTCAGTTAGTCTTCTGTGGAGGCCTTTGTTTGGCTGTAGGTCAGTGATAAGATGTCTCTTAGAGCAGCCTTTGTATTACTGACTGTAATAACAGTCTAGCTCTTATTTGGAACTGGTAGTCAGATGGCTAGTTGCTTTGATTTCCAGGGCATGTATCAAGGGAGGCCTAACTCAAATTAAAAAGCTGTTAAGTATGATGTTTTGGTAGCAAAACTTTGACAAGTTTTTGAACATGAATTTCAGTGATATATTAGTTGCATGGTTCTCTAGGGGCCATTGCATGCTCTTAAATGTCAGTAACCTTAATATGTCTCAGCTTTCTTTCTGGGCTGTTTCCCATCCTACCTTCTCTGCAGATGAGGTCAGGCATGGCATTTTGAAACACCAGTGTACTTTGTGGTAGAACAGGGTAAATCTATGTTAATTTCAAGAAAGGTAGGCTTCTAAGAGGTTTGCATGCATTAACAAAACATTTCAAGGAAGCAGAGTATCAAATTAACTTGTTTCGTGTTAAAGACATTAAGGTATTTAAATGTGTTATTTCAATCCCTGTTGAAGCATGGAAACAAGGATATAATATCACTTATTTAAAACACAGCTTCCGTTCTTACCTTCTCCTTCCTTTCACAGAGAACTTTTAAAGACTACACAGCATGAGTGAAAATATACTAAAATAAGTAGATTTCGGTGAAGAGGGAAATTGCATAAATCATAACAGAAATGCTTCTTTCTTCTTGGAGCAGTGTCTTCCTCTGGTGCTCCACTTCAGGTGCACATGCTCCTCTTGAGTCCCCTGATAAAGATTTCTAGCTAGCACTGTCCATTTGACCCACGCATGTGCCTTGTGCCTCCTCTACTGCCTTGGCCCCAGATGAAACATTAATATGTCTGCTCCCTAGAGCATACTTGGCCTTTTCCTCTTCACCTTTTTTCTAGCAAAGTTACTTAGCTTAGAGTTGTTGTTAGTGTTAATATAGTTGGTTTTAGATGAGGGGACTGACAGGAGATTTGTCTTCTCCTGATGTGGTTTGCCTGGTTCACCAGCCTTCAAATGCTGCCTCTCTTGCTGGGAGGCTATACCAATGAGCAACAGACACTCCAAGTGTGTCCGTTGTCTGGGGGAGTTCCACATCTCCCAGAAGTGCTCCTTTTTGTTTAGCCCTTAAATCCAGGGCTGGGAAGAACGGGGAGATAAAGCTCAGGCTGTTGGCAATGGAATGTTCCCTGCAACAACCCTCTGAGCCACGTCAGGAGACACCCCCTCTCCTCCTCCACACACACATCTGTCCCTGGACAGATCAGTGCCCTGTCACCTCAGAGCAGCTTCTCCCAAGAAAGGGAAGTCTTTGGAGCACATTGGGAAGACTGCCAAGAACAGGAGTATGGACTCTCTTTATCTAAAGAGCCAGATCCAAAAAAGACCAGGTCTGTGTTAATGTCCTCTGTCTCAGTGGGTATTGTTGAGGCCAGGGATTCTTCCTCCAGTACCAGCAGGCTTGTGAAGCCCCAGAGCTCCAAGGAGAGTAAGCATGGCTTTGCTAAGGTGCTTGTACCAAAATAGTACCAGGCCGGAGTCAGGAGACAAGAGTCAGGCTGAGATCGGAGACTGGAGATCAGGAGACAAGATGAAATCTGGAGTCACAGCAGGCCGAATTCTGTGTTTGCTCACACAGCTTCCTGGGGCAACCCCTGGAGTTAAATAGGGTGCTTGGCCAATTTATAGGGCCACAGGGTATTGTCATGCTGGCTCCCTTGCATAGGCACCAACTCTGTGGGTGCTCCCATGGGGGGGAAAAAGTGTATGCTCAGCACTCATGGGCAGCCCCGCCAATCAGCTCCTCCCCCTCCCTCCCAGCCCCTCCCAGCCTCTCCCGCCTGCCGCAATCAGCTGTTCAGCAGTGTGCAGGAGGCACTGGGGGAAGGGGAAGGAGTGGGGGCAGGAAGAGGTGGGAAAGGGGCAGAACGGGGTGGGAGTGGAGCAGGGACCAAGAAGAGGCAGGGCAGAGGTGGACTGGGCGTGGGTGGGAAGAGGTGGGGCGTGGTTGGAATTTGGAGGAAGGGGTGGAGTGGGGTGTGGTCTGGGGCAGAGCGGGGGTCCAGCATCTCCAGGGAAATCACAAAGTCTGCACCTCTGCTCCCTTGGGTGGTACTTCCTGCAGTGCTTACTCTCCACAGTGCTCCCTGTTAGCTCTGCTTAGCCTCCTGGTGGCACTGTGGGAACATCAGCTGTCCAAGGCTCTGCAGACCCAGATTCTAGCCAATGGACCTTAGCTACCTGGCCAAGACAAGCTTGATACCCTTACCAGCTTCAGTTCTGTGTCCTTCTGCTAATCAAGCTCCTCACCATTGCTCATCTCTTGTCTCTGGGTGTAGCTGGCGTCTTTCACCCCAACCTGGCAGTTCTACATCTTAGAGCCTGGCTCCTGGTTGGTTCTCCAGAATAGAAGTTTCCTGCTCTACAGAGGTGTAGTGGGTGTTAAAACATCAACCCCCATTACTTGCAGAAATGGAAGAGATTTACCCACTGTGTGGTTGTCTCTTCCTCTGGCCGGCTAGCTCAGTCGGTAGAGCATGAGACTATTAATTTCAGGGTTGTGGGTTCATGCCCCATATTGGGCACTTGATCTGAGGGGAGGGATAGCTCAGTGATTTGAGCAGTGGCCTGCTAACCCCAGCGTTGTGAGCTCAATCCTTGAGGGGGTCACTTAGGGATCTGGGG